TACACGTACAAGAGGATCTAGACAACTTGATATTATTATCCTGCTTCATTTCCCAATCCCATGTCACACTTTTGTACCCCATTAGCTGATTAGTGTGGAAAGACCCACTTAGGGTCTAAAGGAAGTGCACAAATTTGCATTCAAGGATCATTGAGAATGACTTCAAACAGTTATGTTGGGTACATGTACACGTGGTTTGCCATTCAGAATCACTCTTGGAGGACGACCAAGGAGTGCATTTATGCATTTATAATTCTTATAATTTATGATTTTATAATTCTTATAAGAATTCTTATAAGAATTATAAAATCATAGATGTCACATGTAACAGGGACAGGAAAAAAAGGGCCGTAAATTTATAGAGCGACCCATCTGTACTTAAAATGTATACACCTCATTACTTGAATGCCACTGAATATTTCGGAATTTACAACTACTATAGCCAGAGTACGTCTCCAATCAAACAGAGATGTTCGTAAACAAAATACCCTGAGTACCGGTACCCTCCTATTTTCACAAGTGGCCTTCTTGGTACATTTACCGGTAGAATCCATCACTGTTAGCAGTCAACCAATGACACAATCTATGTAAACAAATTTATACTGGCTGGGTCCTAAAGCTCTGAATATAAATTTAAAAAGGTCAGTTTTTGATGAGTTTGAGAAACTTAAGTTACAAAAAAAGTAGATTTTATGAATATGCTTTAATTAATGATAGGCCTACCTTTTCAATAATTGCTTTGCCATTGGTCAATTGCATTTGTGACGTAATAGAAAATGGAATTCAGAAAAGAAGTATTTGCTAAAACAGAAACCGTAAACGAAATTCAGCCTTCACAAGTAAGCCAGTAAGGCCGAATAAAAAAAAAAGTCTTTTATTTTTTATTTTTTTCAAGATGGCCGTCATTTTAAAATTTCCTGCAACCGTTGGTGTTTCCACTGTTCAAAGACACTTTTAAAATGAAAGATAAGTTGGACAAGAGAACTGAACATACATTGTATTTAGTGTCATTTAGAGTTGTATCAGATGGTATTGGTATTTATTTTTCGATGAATTTATGGACTTTTTCTGTGGTTTCTTTTACTGCATTTTTCAAAAATAAAAAATCACAAAAAATCCAGGCGGCCTCCAAAAATGAAGCGGGCGGGGACGAGAAACATGTTTTTTTTTTTTACTTCGCCTAATCTGAATGCAATTTAGAGATATGAATTATGACACTCCTTGGAAATAATTAACGGCAACGCACTTATCATGTTTCCCCTCGCAGATATCATGGATTTATACAGCAGTTTACAAATTCCCCTGAATGTAGTTTGTCAGAGTGATTTAGAGCAGGCTTGAGAACTCCAGTTGAATTAAAACCGACAGTAAATTTCTTTTTATTCCCAGCGCGGGCCCAGGCATTTCTGCCCGTATCTCAGCCGCGATGTGCCACGTTATTTCCCTTGTTTGTCGGGAATGTGTGAAATGCCATCCTAGTGCAAGTGCGGGTCCCTGTGGGATATCGCTGGGATGTATCGTTCCGTATCGTCCGGACTTTGAAGCGAGGTGTCGTTGGGATTCCCTCTAGGATTCTGATTGCAATCGAGTTCAGTGATAGTTCGTCTGCTCGTTACTGGTCAACTCTGATTTCAGTGGCGTATCGGTACAGCCATGTACTTTGGATTTAAAAAAAAAAAAGGTCTAAATTGGAAAAATTGTCTTGAAAAGCAAGCTTTTATTTTACAAACAAAATTTAACATACAATGTATGTGTCTACAAGTGTAGTAATTGGTTTTCTGCTACTTTTTTTTTTTTTTTTAATAAAAAAAAAATTCTCCACTTTTATCTTTCTGCATTGTATAAGATTTTAGCAAAAGTGAAGATTGATTCCCCCCCCCCCTGATTTTTCCGAGTTTCACCTCGAAAAACTTTTTTTTTTTCGATGCTATTTTCCTAAATATACATGTATATACATGTAACAGGGTCTATTTACTTTTGAATGAGACATTGAACAAAAAAAATCCACCGAAATTGAGTTAATTTGAGCTAAGTTTTACAAAATTGAATATTTGCCTCTCACGGGGCTGGTTATTTTGTGCATAAAAGGAAAACTCTTTTTCAGAGAGTTGTAGACGCCATACTTTTTCAAAACAAAACATACAAATAGAAAATTTCTGTTTTCATACAAATAGAAAATTTCTGTTTTCGCCTCTGAAGAAGAACTTGCTAAGTTCGCAACGTCAGGCCACATTAATTTTTAGAAATAGAAAATTTGTTAGAAGGAAAAAAATGCATTTCTTTATGAGCATGATGTGTACATGTACATGTACATTTTTAAATTGGACTTGGAGTAATTTAGAATCACCTTTATATGAAGTGATAAATTCTTTCTTCTAATGCCGAGTTAAAAAAAAATTGAATGAGAAACTTATTTATCTCTTGAAAAATACAACTCAATCTGTGTTCCTTCCATGCCGTATTTTTATGATACAAAATTCTTTATTTTTTATTCAATAATAACCATTGCAACCCAATCATTATAACTTTTTGAATTTTTGTACTGGTGTCCTTTTAAACCAAAATGGTTTTTTTTTTATTTCAAATGAAATACATTTAGTACATAATACTGTCGTTTTTGCTTCTACGCCGCAATACACTCGTTGCATGCTTCTTTCATCAACATTCACATCTGTTGACGTCAATGGCTGGACAATTTTTTTTTCTTCTGAAAGTTGAAGGATTTATGAGATTTCAGAATTATTGACTGTAGGGTTTCTAGATTGCATTTCACTTTCAGGATGACTGTTATCCCCAGGGAGTGCCACAAATCTGTTGGCACTGCTTGTGAAATGCTAAGGGTTATTTTGGAGAGGGTTTTCCGGTTGTGTTGCCAGATTTTGAACGATATTGAAAGTCCTCAAAAACAAGACAAATGTTACTCGACATACTTACTCGAATTCCCAACCGCTGTTTTTAGATAATTTGGTTTTTAACATTTTAAATCAGACAAATAAATTACATTATTTAAACAACCTTCCTATTGTTTGATCAGTCACTGACAGTCAATAATATCTTCTACTTTTCTGCCATGCATTTGAATACAGATTAGTTTTTTAAAAAAAATCACATCGATGATCACATCTGTGTGAACACACGTCCCGTTTGTATCCTTGTGGAGACATCATTTTGTTCTCGTGTACAAACAGGTTAGAGGGTCGAAAGCTAAATTTTCAAAATGCTCCTATTGGAACCAGAATTACTTTCCTGGGTCGAAATTCTGACCAAATGTCCCTTACATAAAATAAACCTCAATTAAGTACACCTTGGAAATTACTAGTTTTTGAGTAAAATCCATATCTATTTCGCAAAATCCTTGTGGAGACCTTTACACGTACCTTTAGACATTTCCTTATGGAGACCGCATCCTTTTGTTCTGTATTATACCCAGGTCTCCACAGGGTAGCAGTTTTGGAATCACTGTGACCAGTAGGTACATTACAGCTGACATTATCAATCACCTCCAGTCAAAGCATGGCTATATCAAATTCTCAAGGGAATTCATAATCATCAAAAACAATCACTTGGTTGATTTTGGTTGTAAATTGTGGAAGACCTACATTGTAGACTCCATACACACTCAGTACGTAGATGGCACTTTGTGATCACTTTCTAGAGCCCCAGGGGTGAGCTAACGTGTGTGCTTGCGGTGTGAGTGTTTAATACTGAAATTTGTATCCTTGTGGAGACATTTCTTTGTTCTCGTGTACTAAAGTTTCGAAGTTTGAAAGTACAGTTTCAAAATGCTCTTATTTTAACCAGAATTAATTTCCTTGGCTGAAATTCGAACTTAATATCCCTTTTCTAAAACTCTTGCATTTGTGACCGATCAACATAGGTTGGAAATTCCTAGTTTTTGAGTAAAATCCATCTATTTCATGGAAACAACGTACATGTACACATTGTGTATGTAAACATTGTACATGTATACATGTACATTGTACATGTACTGTACACATGTGCCGTACATGTACGATTTCTTCAAAATGTGCACAAACTCATTGCACCTTCACATGAATATCAGGCGTCGTCACCAACATGTTCAAATGACCCTCCCAGTGGTGTCCCTCAACTTTCCCTTCGCAGCCACTGGGGAGGGTGAGGGTACCGGGGAGGGTGAGGGTACCGGTACATCGTGTGGAGTCGAAATCTCTACAGGAGATTCAGAAATGGCCTAATATTACCAGTCAGCTGTGAATGCTAGAAACAACTCTGGACTTTCATATTGGCAGCAGAGGCATCTGTTCCTCTGGCCTTGGCCTTGCTGCCCCATGAAATAGTCCCTCACGTAATTGGATTTTCTGACAGAAGTACCCTTGACCGAGAAAATGTTTTTGCCAGCCAATTTAGGTTTTGTTTGTTTGTACCGGTATGTCGGGTTGTTTGCTGGGTTGTAAATGTATGTTTATTTGTTTAATTGTATTGCATTTACATCACCTTCCTTTCAGATCCTTTAAAATTCAAAAAGAGGTGTGAGAGGATTTTGTAGGACTAAGGAACACGAAGCCCAGTCACTACATGTAATACTTTACAAAACAAGTATACATGTAACAGGGGTAGATCGATGTAAGAAGCCTGGCAAAGTGCCACATGTGGGATTTAGGACTAGAACTTATCGCTCTATACATTGTAAACTTCGTTGACCTTCCAACCTTGTCCCAGAGGGGCCAGCCTATAGTCATCTGTGTACCTGACTGACTGACTGACTCACTGTCTGACTGGCTGACTGTCACTTGTGAATTAGACTTGCATAAGTCTCACCTTAGCCCAAAAGTTTGAAATAAAATTATCTCACAACACCAGTGAATGGGTTAAATCCAGCCGATTGTGTAGACCACAATCACCACATGCATGACAAGACTTCCAGTGAAAAGCCATTCTAAATCAATGGAGCAGAATTGTGTGCACTCTGGGACCAGCTTTCCTAGTCTTGTTTTATACCGTCTGATATTTCTTCGCAGCTTTCAAGTTATGGCGTGAAGCAGGAGCAGGTGACCTTCCCCCGCGTGACCATGTCGTCTCACCGCTGGATCTGTTGCCGTCACACCAGCCGTAAACGCAAGAAGGTGGACTGTATCACGGCAATCAATCTGACCCGCAAGACGCCGCGCTCGCTGACGTGGCCCTGCGTGGCGGACTCGGCCATGATGAATCCTAGGAAACCATGGCTGGCACTCAAAGGTTTGTTGACATGATGCACTATAAAATTTGAGTGAAATACCGGTAGCGCCATTTTTTGGGTACAAACACCATCTAGTGAAATTGCCCATCTACATGTATTGAAAAAAAGTTAAGTAAGGCCAAAAAAAAATAATAATCAGTCTCTGGTCAGACCGAAGTTCCGGAATTGATGCGGCGATGCATTTTTTTGGGGGGGGGGGGGTTTGGCTTTTTTTTTTTTTTCAAGCTTGAATTGTACAGACAAGGTGGGTACTATTTTACTTTTATGTGTCCTCATTATACATTGGTGTCCTCCATAATTTGCCTTGGTTCCCTTTATCATTTGCCTTGGTGCAATTTCCCCATTCCTTGGTACTCCTTGGTACAAACATTTGAGGAGGTGCGGCAATAGAGAGCGCTGTTGTAGCTGCTGTGTTAATTTGAAGGAAAAAAAGGTTGACGCGCATGATTAAAATTGACGCGCGCGCTGACCAGAGACCGAGTACTTTTTTGGGGGGCCTAAACCTTAACTTGTGTAAAGGTAATATACAATGTATCATGTGCACATCATAGCTAGAACTACATGAAAGATTGGGCACACATGCAGCAACTTTTTGCTGTGATAACCGACGCATACATAACTCAGTAATTTTGATAAATATGTATGGGGTATAGTAAAACAAATATAACACGGTTTATTTCAGACGAATAGTCGATCATTCCCCTCGGTATTGGAAGTTGACAAGCTAGTGCTGTCGGCTTCGCCTCAGGAACTAGTTTGTCAACGTCCAATACCTTGGGGAGCTAATATTCACTGGACCATTTCCTCTATCCGCCATAAACCATTCAAATATTTATGTGGCACATTCATAAAAGAAAATATAGAAACCAAGCACATGTACCATGTTGATTGTGGTTGGGAACAGTATATCGGTATATCACACACTCAAGTGACAATCTCATGACTCAAGTGCAAACTTATGGTCTATTGGTCATGTGTATGCATTGACATGCCTTATTACACACACGCACATGTGTATATGTGACATTCAATAGGAATTTTGTCCACCCCCATAAACTTAAACAAACCCAACCTGTTTGTTTGCTCAAGATCCTGAGAGCCAAGCCTCTTGTTTATTTGATTATTCCCGTTATAGTCGGGCGGCATTTCCAAGTCTTCAACATAGTGGCGGAGAAGCAGCTTCACCGGTGTACGACCAAAGACGACGTGCAATATTGGACGTGGATCAGTGATGACATCATCGGGATGGTGGGAGCTAAGGCCGTGTATCACTGGGATCTCTCACCACCAGGTAAGGCTGTGCCCGAGGTGCTTGGGTACGGCTAGCTATTACACATGAGCGACTGCTCATAGACGTGTGTGTTACCGTCTGCCATGGTCATGTTTTTGAGAAACAGTCGTAGGAGTTGGGTTGGCGCATTGGTACTTTCCTCACCTTTCACCGAATTCCTTTGCATGTCATCTTCACGAAACAGCAAATGTCCATTATTTTATAGTGACAGTAAAATCCTGATAACTCAAATCGTATAACTCAAAACTCCATTTACATTGTACCTCGAAGTAGTACTCCATAGCCGTCAAGAGAAAAGGATATTATGTACATGAATACCCCCCCATAACTCGAAATTGGGAACCTTGCTTTTAAATTGTGAACTCTCGAATTTTTTACCCATTCCCTTGATATTTGTACAAGCATTACATTCAGTGTGTGGACTTCTGAACAAAAGAGGTCCACATAAACCAGGTAGCAGCGAAGTTGTGTGGACTTGCCCACGTCCACACAAGGTTTTCCCCTCTCTGGAAAACAGGTTTAGAGGCATTTTTGGGTTAGGTTTATTTGTGGCAAAATGAAGAGAAACACTAAAGGGAATCTTAGAAAAAAATTGGGTTGAAAGATTTTTCACAGTGTGAGTAAAATAAATTTGTTTTACAGGTTTTCTTAACTACACGTAAACAAAGGAATGTCCAAACTACATGTGTACATATGTAGCGTAAATATGCGTGACTTAGTGAGAGTTTACTGTATGTGAACTCATACGGTAGTGTACAGATGTATTCTACTTTTTTACAATCTTTCCAACTTCTATAATTTCATGATGCATTTTTGAGCTCAAGCTGTTTTTTTTCTCTAGAAAGCAATGCTATATCATATATGCCTTTTTGTGAAGATTTTGTTTTTGTTTTGTCATCATTTTAGCTGATTTGGGACCTCAGAAGGTTTTCATCAGACACGGTAGACTGAGTTTCTGTCAGATCATTGGCTACAAGGCGGACCCTACGCAGCGATGGCTGGCACTGGTGGGACTCTTCAGGGAATTTGACAATGAGGTAGGCTTCCGTGGTGGCCATGTTTGTCTGGTATCCATATTATGGATTAACTAACCACTTGAAGAAGTGGTCACAATGTAGGGGCCAGTCTGGGATCGTATTACAGAGCATGGACTTTACGGGTCATAGAGCTAGAGCATAAGCTTGCTGTACGCAACGTAGCCTACTTGGCCTATTGATATGGAATTATTAAAATTTTGTACAGCTATTTTCTTCTTTTTTTTTCATTTGTTTATGAACCAATCCCATTACACCTGAAACTGAAATGCACAAACACTAAATGAACATTTCATTTCATTCTGCGAAAAAAAGAATGCACAAATCCAGATGTGTTTCATTGATGACTTGTATTAATTTAACCCTCCTATGCAAACATGCATTCTGTGCCAAGTTGTCCTTGCAGTCAAAATCAATCAAGTGACTGTTTTCAAGAGCTCTGTACGAATTCCCAGCCCACATAAAGCAGGATTGACTGCCTTGGACTGCTTAAGTAACTTGATACAGCTATGCTTTGACTCCAGGAGAGTGATAAAACAGCTGTGACCACAACTTGCCTGCTTTGTCTGTTGACCCAGTTTGACTAGTCACAGTGCTTGCTTGACATATGATCTGACTGCTGGTGACTACCCTTTGTTAAAAGTATAGCAGGGGAAGTGGAAGTGAATTTGGACTGTCCGTGTCTGCTTAAAGCTATAGTCCATCATTTGTAATTAGTGCATTTTGTTCGTTTGAAGCAACAAACGTGTTCAAAATCTAATGAAGGATACTGAACAACTTACTTGATGAAGTTTCAGCTCAGCTTCAGCTGTATATTCCGAGAAAAACAGCATTCTAAGATCTCAATTTCAAATCAAAAGTTACTGAATCATGTTTTGAATTGTTTTGAATTGCAGCTATACGTGACGTCGCGCACTGATCCGACGAATTATAACAACCGCGCCCGCGTGTGCGTCGTTCCAATACTTGTGCGCGCTGCGCTGAATAACAAAACGAACTACTAATTTAAATTTTCCTACGGTGCTTCTTAAGAATCACCGTTGGAAATGCCTTCTTTCGTTGATTACTTCAAAATGACAGCTTCCCAGAAAGAATAATTTCACAGGGAGTTTAGTCCCCCTTACTATCTTTCAACCAAGTTTGTTTTTCAACAATAATTACGCCAGTTACTTTTCGATTGGCTGCAAATGATGGACTATAGCTTTAAATAGCAGGAGGGTTAATTAATACCGCAGAAAATGCAACTCTGCAGACTGCGTTGTGTTTACATGTAGAGCACTACATGTGAAATTCAATTCCACTAACAGTTTGTTCTGCTGTACATACATGAATTCTAAATGACCGTGCTCAGGACACTCCCGCAAGTTTTCTCAGGCCTCACAGCAAAACCTTTAAGCACCTATAAAACCTTGAACTTTGGACCCTGTTTTATTTTTAAAGTAGCCTATACACTGGTAACCTATAAAAACCTATATTTTTATTCCGCCATACAATAAAAAAAAATAAAATAAAGACAATTTTAAAAGTCAATTTGACCCACAAGTTTAGTTATCATAATGCCAACATAAGAACATTGGCAGTATACTATCTAAGATGATTTCTACAAATGTTTTAGAATTGGGTCATTTACATGAAATGCGTTTCAGGTAGATTTATCCTGTGTCGAGAACTTGAGGGATGCAATTTGTTATATTTCTGCTACCTCACACTGCAAAATTGCATGGTGTTTCCTTCAATCTGACTGCTCCGCACTTGAAGGGGTACCAGTACTTGCTTAGCACCATTCTGCAAAGAGGTGAAAGTTTCTGTATTTTAAGGAACTCTCTTGAACTGTAATCTTTCCAACGGTTTTTCTTGATATCGTTCTTGTTATTCCATAGTCCGACAACCTCAGTTGTGTATCGGGTCTAACCCAAGTCTACTCCGTGGACCATAAGTACAGTCAGCCCATCGATGCACAAGCCATCGCGTTTGCAACGTACCGACGGAGTGAAAATATCTTGCCTTCCAGTTTCCTCTGCCTTGCCAACCGGTCCCCGGCCCAGCAGGGAAAGGTAACCATCTCAGATGTTTGCTCATGGACTGTGCTTGTGAACAAGAGAGGGCGCCGTTTTCCTTTGCAATGATAGCCCAAGAGAAGGAGGCTTGGCTTTTGCTGGGTCATGCGTGCTATTCATTTTATTGGCTTATTAGTGGTTGATTTGTGACATGATTTATGCCAGCGCGCTGTAGTAATGTGCAAATGTCTCTAGTTGAGTGATGGTTAAAAGTTCACGAAATATCTTGGTCATGGCTACCTGCTGTGCATTACACAGCACAGCAAGGGTCTGTGATATGCGAGCAGATTCGGCGATTAATTATGCAAAACGAGACTGCGTCTTGACCTCGAGATTCTGACCATTCAGCGGGCGCCTTCTATATCGGGTCTTCGGTAGCCAGTTTTGATAGCCAGTGTCGGGTTTTATTAGATCACTATGCCCGTTATTATATTATAAAAACATGGCATCCAAATTGACCAATCAACAGCTTAGTCCAGATTTTGGAGTGAAATGATGTCATGTCAACTCCGATTGGCTGGCACGCGGGGTTGCATAAATTTGCATGCTTAGATATATCCGACGTTGGACTATAGAGACAGAGGGGGCTCCATTGGACAACGGGTGATATTCAGACTACCTGTCCGTAGATACTGCCTTGAAATAATCTGGTTTGGCTTTTTCTTGTTTTTGTGTTCAGCTTCACATCATAGAGCTAGGACCCCACAAACCCGGCAATACTGCTCTCATCAGCTGTACAGAGCAACTCTTTTTTGACGAGAGTGATAACTGTGACTTCCCTGTTTCTGTTCAGGTAAAGACATTTTGGCAAACTTGAATCTGGTCATGTCTGTGTTTTTAGCCCTGAATGGCATTTTAATCAACAATTACTTTCTCAAGCTGCAGATGCTGTGTACGTGCTCAGGAAAGGAAAAAACGTAACGCCCAGTGATTTTTTTTTTAAAAGCTCAAGGAAACCGTCATGGCCATAATTCTTAACAAACCAATTTTCACCTACGGTTGATTTTACAAAACAGTGCAAAGAATTAACCCAACAAATTTGCTCCGCAGCTGCACAATAAACTCACAATCTTTGTCACAAAACTTGAATTTTTTTGGGCCCCCCAAAAAGTGTTCTGGATCCGCCGTTGCTTCCTGCTTACTAGTGCAGACATCTTACCACTAGACCACCAAGCTTGCCGGGGTCGGCTGGCTGGTTCGATGTAGCAGCGGGTACCGCAACACTTCTATAAATAGCATTGCTATCATTTTCTCATGTCACTTTTCACCTCCATGTTGCAGATTTGTTCAAATTATGGCCTGGTGTACGTCTTGACAAAGCTCGGCCATGTCAAAGTGTGTGATATTGAAACGGGTACCCACCTTTCTAGTGCTAGCGTCTCTCCACTGACTCTCTTCACTGGGGCACCAGACTCTGAAGGCAAGCGGGCTCTGACAGTGGACAGAGCCGGAAAGGTGAGATTATTAACAAACAAAAATTAAAGACAATACCGTCCTGGATCCTTTAAAATCCACCAGATTTTGAAGTTTTTTGTAGGAATGAGGAAGGTAGAGCCCAGCCATAATGACTTTATGTGGGACTTGGTGCACCTTGAAACTTGGTAGGTACAAAGATGTGCCATCGGTTTCATACACAGCAAATGATTTTGTTGGATTAAGGAAGGTAGAGCCCAGCCACTAGGATTTTATGTGGGGCTTGATACCACTTGAAACTCGGTAGGTACAAAGAGTGTGCGATTGGTTTCATACACAGTGGAGGATTTTGTAGGATTGAGGAAGGTATGGCCCAGCCAATATTACTTTATGAGGGGCTTAAAAGCCCTGGAGTAAGTTTATGTACAACGAAGGTACCTTTTGGTTTCTTCACAGTGGAGGATGTTAGAGGTTTTAGTCAAGTTCTTAGTAACCTTGTCTTTAGAGTTTGGGTTTAAGCCATGTAGGAACATTTACGAGACCCTGAAAATTGTGCATCCTGTTTTTTGGGTATTCTTAAAATGTATAGTATCCATTGAGCTGAAGGGTCAACCATTTAGTTGTTATGCATCCTTCTTAAGATTTTGGACAGTTTTGTTGCTTCCAAAAGCAAATGTTCATATGTACCTTTAACAGAGGCTGTTACACTTTTAAAGACTGAGATTTTGAAAGATGGTGAAAAATTTCTTTGGTTTTAGTTCACTCAAAAAAATCGTACAACCTGCTTACACTGAATATGAGAAACGGTTGTGCAGTTTGTTTGTTTTTTCAAGCTTTTTGTTATTTTGAAATAACATTCTCTCCTTCTTGGTTTTGTCCTCCAGTTTTCTGCAGTCGGTGTCCATGAACGTGCATTCATAGAATATACACGAACTCAGCTGAAACGACCAGCCATTGCCAGACGACTGGAGAAGTGCATGTTCCCAGAATGAACCATTCTGCTTTCGGGAAACAGTGTTGTGATAATGATAACTAGAATGCACTTTTAGGAGTGAAAACGTAACATGTGCCAAAGTTTGGAAATGCCACCGCTTCGCCAGTAGGGATATCTAATGACATGCTGTGCCAAGAGTATTTGGTATATGTTGCATTAGCTGGGAACCGGCTAGCGATGGATACCAGGAGCATAGCATGTGTACACAACACACTAGATGTCATTGGCTACAAACGTGCATGCTTGCCACGGCAGAGGGACTGCATTATTCTTGAGATTTTTATCCAAAGTAAATTTTGTGGTCTCCACAACGAAGCATCAAGATACTGTGGCGTAAAAAAAAAATTGTTCTTCGTTACGCTTTTGTCTGACATAGAACAGTCTCGAGTCTGGTGTGTGGTCAGACATGCTGAGGTCAAGGGTCATTACCCAGGATGCAGTGTGGAAAATGATCTCGTAGGTGTAGTCGATTGGTGCAGTTTTATGCAAATGAGAAATGGCCAGTAAGATGCACTGTGTGTGAATACCCATCATACATGAGGATAAAATACAAAATGGCTACCGGAGGATTAGACTGGTAATCTGCCGTCTTGAAAGCTGGTGGTGACATCTCAACTGAACAAGGAATTGTGGGTGCACATCTTTGAGTGCATCTAAAGCAACCTTGATCCTTGGTCATCATTGCTATGATACCAGGAGGAAAGCCTATCTTGCAAGGGTCTTCAAGTCAGTCAGGAGTAAGTTACTACCTAGGAGGGCAGATGGAAAAACAAAATTATCCCAGTTGCTGATCAAGAGGCAAATTCTTGACGACTGCCATGGCAAAGAAAGACGGTTTTTCCCTGCTGCTTTGTGGATGTTGGAATCAGTAACTTCAAATGAATCAATTAAAATTGTCTGCAGTAGGAATTAATTGGTAGGTACTAGGCATTGAGAAGCGATTTGATTAGTCTTGGCTGAAGACGCTGTTGATCGATATAGGATTGTGCATATCTAACGGCATGATAAGACTAGCGCGCCTGCTCACACTAACGTCTAGGGAAATTCGTAGTTCCTGCTTAAAGTTTTCTTGATTTTCTCCCTAGGCTTTCCTACGGAACCAATCAGTGGTTGTTAAATGAGTTATAGTCAGTTGTGCGCGCTCGCACAATGGTTGTAAACATATGTGCTGTGCATGTGCAGTGACCAAGATCGCTAATTGCATGTAGATATGCAACGCAGTGATACCCCGCATAAAATGGCCACGCCCCATTTGCTGCAAATTTCCCAAGACGTTAGTGCAAGAAAGTTGGAAAACAATTGTGCAAGGGCGCTCTACAGCAATGCAACCATCGCTATTGATCACTGACGTCTTGGGCCAACACTCTGATTTGATGTGTCCAGGGTACGAAAAGGATACTTGGAAAATGTTCAACATTTCTTTGTGAGGATTTATCATCATCATGCTCCCCCAAAAACTGGTGCTTTTCTAATTGTCAGTATTTTTAGTAGGTCTAGAACTATAAGGGATTAAACATGGCATTGTTTCCCGTTGAGTTTTTAGTGACAAGAACGTGCTGTGGTTTTTGTGAATTGTTGCTGTAGGAAGTCCAATCCCACCACGTTCGTGTGAGCATTTCCACTATGTTTCACTATTTGTGTAATAGGGTAGAATGGAATGTGTATTTGTAGGGTCTTAATAACAATATGTCCGTGTATATGAAGTAACTTTGTTCAAGCCACGCTAGCTATCCACCAGGTAAGATTGAAATGTATATTTAGAAATTCACGAAGTTGTACAGTAATCCATCATTATATCCAATATATATATACAGAAGAATTTTGGACAACCTTTATGGCCAAAGATAGTGACATATTTTTTAATGCCACATTTGAGGACGATTAATAACTTTGAAATGTAAAGTTGAAAGTGGCATTTTAAAACTACTTTCACTTCATTGATCAAATTATCCTACATGTATGTGGTAGTGTTACCCCCGACGGACAGGTGTACTGTCATTTTAAATCATCTCAACTCCCTTGGGAGAGAACCAAGCCATGATTGGCCGTGTCGTCACAGTTGCCGTGAAATTTATGAAGACAAGCTTCTGTTGTGTAATATTTGATGTAAATCATCTCGCCTGCGAAGTGGGCGACAGGCGGTGAAGCTACCTCCCCCAGGTAGCAGGCGAGGCAAAGCCTCGTTTTGTTGAAAGCTCATAAAACCTTGCAAGACTTGGAAGTCAGGTTGGCGTAGCGGTACTTTCCTCGCCTTCCACCGCTGTGACCCAGGTTCAAATCCTGCCTGGGTCAATGATTGGGTTTTCAGTCCCTACCTGATTCGGTGGGTTTTCCCCCGAATATCTTCTGGGCTTTTCCTCCCACCTCTAAAAACTGTAATTTCTTCTCATTGTCTTCTCTCTGTCTTCTCTCTAAGTTGGTGTGATGTAAAGCATCCCCTGGGATGCTTTACCAACTAAAATATACAGATACAGACTTGAAACCAAAATTTTTAGAAGACAGCGGTAGCTTTCTTGGAGAGCAACTTAATTTCCCTTTTGTGTTCATCCCCAAAAAAACTTTTGACCTTTCTTCTAATAAATCATTAAAAACAAAATTGTATTAAAAACACTACAATTTAGAGCATTGCAGTCAATCAGTCGAGCTGCAGGATTTTGTTTAACTCCAGAAGTTTAGTTGTTAACCTTTTTTAAGAAAGAAAATTATGAGAAGGGATGGGGTATTTTCAGGAGGGTCAAAACAGAGGTCTTTTCATGATGTGATGTTCATCAAGAAAAAAATGCCTTGTATTGGAGACAGATTTTGAATGAGTCCATTGTACATGTACATGTACAAACCTGGAACGTTAACTGATAGTGTATGTAATTCAGACAGATTACAACTTCTCCTGTAAGGCATGCTGATTCGTTGAAGAATGCTCTTTCTTTTTGTTGTTTGATTTTGTGGGTTTGGGGGCTGGATAATGTTTGCATGAATATTTTTTAATTGGTTCCAGTATTACTTGTATAACAGGGAGTTAAAAAGATTATTTTCACAATATTGACAGGTTTTTTTATATGATACATGTAACTTGTTCACATTTTCATTTGTATCATGGTTACGTGGCTGCTTTTTGATACTTTTCCAAATGTTTACAGTTCATTTGATTAACTTTTTATTTTGTGGAAAAGAATTTACAAACAAGTTTTAATTTGAAGGGGAGTTAGGTTGCAAAAAAAGGAGGGTTCAATTTTGTGTCGTAGTGAGTTTGTATACAAGCATTGGAGTTACATGCTAGACCAGAACTTGAGAACTATTCATTTTTGTGTTAATTATATATTTTCTTCGGAGATTGCGTAAGTGGAGGATTTCAAAGGATTGAGGCTACATGTATATGGCAAAAATGTGTGGCTGCATGAATTTGGAGGATGCACTGTGTCTAGGTCTTGCGCCCGACCTTGTGTTGTTTATGCTCAGCTGTGCATAAATTTGGGCCTAGACTATACTTGAAATCCTCAGCACTGCTCCAGATGTCACTTCCGCACTGCTCCAGGATGTCACTGGCTCTGCCTCAGCATATTGACAGTGATTACTGGAGGCTTTTGCAGGATCGAGGCAGGGGTCAGCTCTCCAAGGACCACATTCAAGAAATAATGGAGGATTGTGCAGGATTGAGGTTGCATCCTAGCAAAAATGTCTAGGGAGGTAGGGTTAGTTAATCATGATTTGGGGAGACAAAATACGATGGAATTTCTCACTCTTGTATATTGTTGTATTTGTGGGTTTAACATGCAGTTAAAAATGGGTGTCGATCTTTCCGAGTATAGACGCTTTGCAATTAAGCAGCCATCTTGGAGGTATCTTCATATTTTTTTTTTTCAGCAACCAAAATATGAATTACTCGGGCTTCTCCCAATGTAGCTGTAATGCGCAAAGGAACTAATGTCGGTTGTACTCTTATTGCAAAATGTTTGTTTTTGTTATTTCTTAAACTGAAGAACCACCAGGATTTCTTGATTTTAACACCCTCCGGTTATTTATTTTTGTAAGTTCTGAGATCTTTTTAAGTTATTCATTGTAACTTGTCGGGTAATACCACTTCACAGTGTACATGTACATTTTTTTGTATATATATCACATGTATACAATGTATCAGGTATTTTTGCATCACAGGTGACAGCTTTTAACTGTACATGACACAGCTGCTACAATTAAGTACATTCAGTGTAAAATGTAGATATTTAGTGCAAAAAGCTACTTTTGTAAGTGTTATGAACAAGAATAGCCCAAGATGGACACATATATGATGTGCTGAATTGACGTAGGACGCTCATTTCAGCCATGTTATGGATACAAGAATTTTGATCAAAATTCTATTTCAACGCCGTTTTCATTGCACATTTTCAATTAATTTTGGTAACTATTTTGATTTGAATAATTTACCATAATTTAGGTATTACGATTGAAAATTTTGTAATCATTTGTTTAAATTTTAAACTACTTTTGTGGACAAATTGTTGGATCATTTTTTGTGATATTCATTACTTTTTAGAGGAATGACCCTCATTTACAAGTGACCTTGAAATATATCCCTTTAAAAAAATCAGTCTTTCTTGATAATTATGTAAATTTTGTGGTTAGGGGTGCAATTGCTGTTAAGAGTAAAGACGAAAGATAGTTTGTGCAATCTCAAATATGAAACCACAAAGTTGATGTGTACACTGGAATTGTTTTTGTGTTTTGTTTTGTTTTAAATTGTGTAATGTATTCTAAGTTAAAGCGAATGTGTTTGTCTTTAGTTGTAAAATTTGTTTTGCTCGGATAGGATCCATATCTGTAAAATGTATATAAAAAAAGTAAATGCAAGTATTCAGTTTTGGCATGCAGTGACTCGACCACATCAGGGTTCAATTTAGTTGCGGTATTTTTAGGTTTTAAAATATTAATCCTGAAGTATTATCTGAATATGTTTGTTTGTGTCAATGCAAGGTAATTGTTTAATTATGATTCATAAATACCTGAGACAGTAACCATATCTTTTGGTCGAGAGCCCGTCAGGTGGGTGGTTTTAAACCACTGATAAAACACCGCTGTGTTCTGTGCCACATCACGTGGTATGCAACGCGCACGCAAATTTCTAAATACGGAGATTTTGAGCACTACACACGCAAGGCACATACCATAGACATGGCCAGAGGGGCGTTTCAAAAACCTGAAGTGAAATTGTTGAACAAAATTGTTGAAAATCTGAGAATTTTCGACTTGTTTTGACCGAAAGGTATTTACGAATGGAAAAAAAAACCATGTGCTTGGCCAGTACATTTGTATTAAACAAGTGTTTAAAACCGGCAAAGCACATATTTATTCCCTTATTAAAAATAATTGTCCCTTAAATAACCCGTTTGCTGATATCAGTAAGAAATATTGATGAAACGGTGACAAATCTTTCGCTGTACATTTTTTGTGTAAATTGAGATGATTGATATTGATTGCTACCAAGATTTTATGATGCCAGTTTAGCAAAATCAACTGACTGAAAATGTATTTATTGTGAATGCTCTTTCATTTAGGTGTACTGAGAATGTACGGTGAAAGTTTGAGGCTCATATATTTTGGGGAGGATAAAAAAAAAAGAGAAAAAGGTTCCAATTGTGTGATAAGTGGATTCAGTGGCGACTGGGTATAATTTATAAGATTATTTTATTGTTTGTTTGTTGGAAACCTTTGCCGGGTATAGTTGCCATGCAAAATAATAGACATGTATGTGCCCAGATGCTTTTAAACTTCATTGTAGATGTTTATCAATCATGACAAAAAATTTGCTTGCAAACTCCATGCTGATTCAAATTAAAGAATTGTCAGAACTTTTAGGCCAAAAAAAAAAAGTCTCCGGTTTCTGGTATGTACGCGCGTCGCCGTAGCCATGCACGTCGGCAAAATGAAAAAGTTTTTTTTTCAATACAAGATGATGTCTCAAAACCGCCAAACTCACTGGTTTGACTGGAATCCTGCTGCTGCACAATTTTAACGTGTTTTTAGATGGGGTTATGATCGAGAATAAGCTTTATGTGGCCTCTCTGGACTCCCATATATTTGCACTAAGTTTAGTCGGGCACCATTTGCAGTCATCAGCCGACATTTGAAGCCAAAAAAAAAAAAAAAAAGCCGCGTCGCCGCACCACTTTTGGGGCAAGCTCCATACCAGAAACCGGAGACTTTTTTTTTTGGCCTTATGTACGAAGTCTTTTTTTTTTTTTTTTTGCTGTGAATGAAATTAATGTGCTGCTCGTTATTTGGACTTTGTAATTAAGTAAACTTGTTTGGATTGAATGTTGCACCTTTTATCTAGTCAGAAGTCTTTAATGTCGGCGTGCGTGTACATGATGTAAACAAAACAATAAACAAGGAATATCCAAGAATTTGGGTTTAATTTGTTCCTGTCTGTCTTTTCATTATGTAGTTCATTTAGGAGAGCAACAAATTTGACATTAATCCTTTGTAATTTTCTTCACGACCAAAACATGTTCAAACTCATGTTTTGTTTTAATTCAATTGAACAATTAAATCATACAATTTCTGTCACCACTGGCCTACAATATACTAACAAGGCATCTATCTTGGCAATTACTATGATTAAAAAGATTTCAAGTACAAAATTCGATTGTCCAACCGGAACTGTAACAAGTGATTTAAATATTAAAAAAACAGCGAGCACACTTCATTTCAATTGCTTATTAAATAAATCATTTGCATACACGATTGATTAAAGTTGCATAGTAACATTCGCCTTTAAGAGACTTGACTTTCATGTCTATTAACAGTTTCTTATTCAAACTTTTTAAAACTACTTTGATAGATTGAATATCAAACATTAAAAAAATCACTTCATCATTTACATAGCACTGATTTTAAACTTTAAAAATCTCTACATGTATAAATATAATACATGTGAATTCATACGACAATGTTTCATCCACTGTTAAAATCATTCAAAATATAATTCATTTTTTTAAATCACTCAAATCAAGTAATATTTATAATAAAAAATTTAAACTATAGTCAAATTTGAGCACACAACAAGCTTCACTACTTACAAAATTTCCCAATAGTAGTTGGTATCTAAATGTTTAAAGAAAACGTACCCGGTAACAGGATAAAAATCTTCAGAAAAATCTTCTTTTTTTTCAATTTCTATTTCACGGCTCAAAGCAGTGGGAGAAAAAAGCAACAATTTCTATATAGGAATACTTGAACATTGTACTTGAATGCTTTGAATATTGTTCGTGATTGAATCCATGGTGAAATATGACAAGTTTGTTTCCAAAGCGCCGTTTTGTTACATTGTAGAATCCCGCTCTCTCCTTGCTGGCCAAAGTCGGCTTCGACTGGTTTTGTACATTTAAACACAATTTATGAATACAATCAAGACAATTTAAAAACGCAATGAAGCTAAAGATGTAGCGAAGAAAACAGCTAATCTACTGGTAAAATATGCTTACTGCCTTACTGCTTTTGAAAAACATTTAATCCTTGATGATAATACAAAGGAATTTTCATCTAAAAAATGTAAAATCACACCAAATTTGCATAATATTTGAAGTTTACAAAGAAGCGATATTAAAATCACTCAATTATGAAAGATTACGTTTCAAATCACTTGGCATCATCATTTTTTTTTTTTAGGAAAAACTGTACAAGTATTGCAATTGGATACACGTCACTGTTTATCGTTTCATTACAATTTGTTCTGGATTCTACATTCTGTATGTAAAAAGGCATTGTTCAATCCCAAACATATTTTTATATCAAATTGTATCTGCTTTCCCAGACATAATATTTTGATATAAAAATTCACTTGAATTCACACAGCAACGGAAGTTAAGACCATTCACTTTTCATTTACAGATCTTAAAAATGACATACAACATACCGGTATCTCAACAAATTTAAGCAGGTTTTTAACTTGCAATTTTGAGGGATAATATTCCCCATTGTTATTGTTGTTACTTTTTTACCATTTTCATGTTTTGGTATAACATTTTATAGAGCTTGCACTTTCAAACAAATGCATTCCCTTTTGGCAAGGTGCCAATTATTCATTCAGCTGCTGACCTTTAACCCTTGACCCTTAACCTCCAGTCTTAGCATTCTGCTTCTGCTCTGATTGGACAGGTTTGACAATCTTCTCTTTTTCTGCCTTTGGCACTTGAGGTTTCTGCCCCCTGGTTTTGGATTCTTTCAACTTTTCTGGTTTTGTGCCATCCATCCTGCTCTCTTTAGACTCGGACTCTTTCTGAACCGTCTCTTCTAGTTTTCTTTCTCTCTTCACATCTTTGGCATCTTTCCTTGTGCTCTCCTTCTCTACTTTGACCTGCTCCTCCTTTCTCTTTCCCGCATCCTTTTCCTTAGTACCTTCTCCCCCTGGCGCCTTCTCTGTCTTGACATCCTTAGCTATGGTCTCCTCTTCTCTCGTCTCAACTTTCTTCATCTTTTCATCATCTGCTTGTTTGGGTTTCACGTCTGCATGTGGCGTTGCTTTTTTCGCCGTCTTCTTGTCTGGGGTTGGTTTCTTGTCTTTGAGTACTGTCTCTTTTTTCTCCTGTCTGCTCGTCTCTGATGCCTGCTTTGTCTCTCCTTCCTTCTCAGCTCTTCTTGGTTTCACATCAGCATCCTTGGATGTCTTCTTATCCATCTTTTTATCGACGGTCTGTCTCTTCTCTTCCTTGGATGCTTTTGTCTTCTCCTGTTCACTCACCTTAGATGCCTTTTTCTCTTGTCCGCTTGATTTCTTTGCTTCATCCTTCTTCGCTCCTTTGCCTTTCTTGTCAGGTGTCGCAGTCTCTTTCTTCTTCTCAGTCCTCGTCTTCTTTCCTTCTTCCTTTGTTGTTCCTCCCGTCTCCTTTATCTTATCCCTCGCCACTGCCATCCCCTCCAAGCCGTTCCTCAAGCTAACCAAGGTGTCCTTGTGGGAGTTTTTCAGGTTCTTCTCCACCAGCGTCTGTGCCAGCCAGGGGCACGTTATCGTCAGGTACTCGGTCAAGAACGTCCCTGGCATAGCTCGCCCCTCACGATGCTCAAAGGTCATTCTGCTGTGGACTTTGAGCAGGTAACCGCGGAGAAAGCCGAAGTTATACAGGACCTCTTCATTTGGTCTGAAAAAAGGAAAAATTTTATTAATGATTCACACTGGTATGAAAATAAGAGAGCTGCAACAATTAAAACTGGAATGAATCAACAATGATAAATAAACAGTGTAATCATATATACAGTCAAGCTTGGTTTAAATCTATTGTGTTTTAGGGGGGGGTTCTTTGTTTTTACACAACACAGATCCGGGGGGGGGGGGGGAGGGCAAGATCTGTTAACAACAAAAAAATCATAGTAAATCATGAAAAATAATGAACCCCCCCCCCCCCCCTGCTCTGACACAAAAAATAAACTATACTAGTAATAATATCCGCCTGTGCATAAAAATACTGAAAGAGCCAGCTTGGTTAGGGGGTATTTATACAATAGTCTGTAATATAAACTTAATAATCGACGGGTGGAGGCCATGTGTCCAGAAAAATCTGTGGACATTTCAGACTTTTTTGCTGATGAACAGACAGAACTTCAGACGAATTACAAATGACTGTAGCTGCAGACTCACTTTGATAACGTCAAGCGTATCTCCATGTTGAATGGAAACTCATAGTCCCAGAGCAGTGGGATGGCCTTCTCCACCAGATACAACTTTTCTTTTACTCCATCCTTCCTTGTACGCTGTTTCACCAAGGTACACTTCCCTCTGTTAACAAAATGTGGGGGACAATTTGTGATGAAAAAAGGTAACTATATGCACTGTGGAAACTACGCTGAATGAAGATGTCGTGATGACATCGAAAGCTACGTCGCTGCAATATTTTTTATTCAAAAACAGGTATCTAAATATTTCTTATATGCACTGTGGCGATCTGCCGTCGCACTTTAGACAAAAGTTTCAAAATCATTTTGGGCCTATGTTAATTCTCTTTTTAAAGTTTGCTGGAATTTTTTGGAATGAACTGTTTTTCAAAAATAATAGGGCTTGGGCCTAGCCGCCTAGGCCTAATACTTTATCAGGAAATGGGCTTGATTCGGGTGGTTCTGGCTGAAAAATAGCATTTTTGGGGGGGGGGGCACAAAGCAGTTTTTTGGTTAAATTTGGAACTGATTAAAACCATGATTACCAGAACTAGGAAAAGTCAACTGAAAGTGGCATAGCCATCGGTAGACTTTTGACGGAAAAATGTTGCCACTTTTTTCTTCGTATAGGTCTATCATCTCAATGAAGGTCAGTCATTGCAAAAATGATGATAAGACGTTAATCTGGGACTGATGAGAAACATTTCCAATTTTGTTAGGAAATACTAAAACAATTTTCTTGATTCTCCAGACCATAGACTTTGATGTGTACAGTAGGGCCTACACATCTGCTGAAGTGGCGTCAGGTTGCAACATTTTTTCCCACTTTTGAACCAATGTCACTTGAATTCATGGATTAGGCATAGGCCTAGCTAGTTGAACCATGGTTGAGCCGAAAGCAGACTGCATAATGACTGCGCGTCAGACCCCTAAAGCTACGCGGTCCTATTTCTACGCACTCACTTTAGCTTTGCGTGTGACAATGCGCGCGCATTGCAACTGCAACATCGCAACTGCAAGCGTTACTGTGCAGATTATGCATGGAGGGCGGAGGATATTTATTAGGCAGTGGATATTTAGCCGGAGACGGTAAACCTTTAGCTTGCCGGATATGCACTGAACATGCGCAGTTACTTTTTTTTTGTACTTAAACATTTTCCAGTGACAATTTTAGTCTGGCTCCATGCCAACATTATCATTGTAACTTCATATTCACAAGATGGGAATCGGACCATTTACAATTTCGGACTTTATTTCCCTTTTAAAAAATCCTCCAGATCAGAGCCACAAAATATTCCCGCTCATGAGATCCGTTGCTTATCCACATAATCCACTAGGCCACAGGTGCTACACAACCGTTGGTGGTAATTTAATATATCTTATTCAGCCCTATCTTAGAGAGTACAGCGCCCTCTGTTGATAGGATTGCCGCTGGCAATATATCCACTATCTAGCAGACGAACTCACCCTATCGAATGTTTTTCGATCGTCCTCTTTAAATCCGACATAAAATCGTACACGTCTTCCGGCGATTTGTACATGAATATGTCATTCTTCACCGTGAAAGTTGTAGGTCTGAAGAGAAAGTATGCGGCTATCGCCACTAATACTACAATAAAAACTGACTTCATGACGAAAATTTAGACTTTTTCGCCCGCGACTTCTCAGCTTTTCTTTACCAAAACCTAATTCTGTTTGACGATCGGTTGCCTGACGTCGATATATTGCAGTGCGGTCAAACAGACGTATACTTTTTGCAGACGACACAGGGAGCCCGACTGAAATAAAAGGTGCAAAGTTCGAAGAGCGCCGCCAAGTAAAGCTCAACAGAGGGCGCTCGACCATTTCTTCTAAAATTAGACGGCGAAACATTTCAAGTATGCGTAAAATGTTTCATTAGACGCGCGCACAGACGAAGTATGACAAGGATTAAAACATTGAATACTTTAAAGACATTATCTTCGATATGGTTACAGCATGTCGGAAGGAATAACTTACAGGGGATTGAGGAGAAGGGCCTACAAAATAAAATCTGTTGTCGAATGAAGGGGGTTTTCTAATAAAAAGAAGTGTCCCTAATTTTGTTGTGCATCTAGCTGGTACCGGCCGTGTTCTAATACCGCTTGTAATAACTGTTGGATATCAATTAAAACAAAATGTTTTTTTCTGGTGGATTACTGTAACAAATTAAATGTTTAACCCCATCCCCAACCATTTGCTATTTCTAATCTCTAGCCTAGCCTATGCTATGTCCATCCATTGTCCAATGTCGAATGTATAGCTAAGCCCTGGCCCTCCCCATCCTTCCAAGTTGTCTTCTGCTTGTCTTGCCCATGTCGAACCCATGAGAGATGGGAGGTCATCTCTCTATCTTCTTTTTTTTTACCTGCCTCTTCTTCTTTTCCCTGTCCTTGGTTGCCATTCTGTTTATCGTTTTGTTCATCTGTACGAGCCAGGTGTCCACCTATATATAGCATTTGCGTTCCGTTGCTCTTTGGACTGACTGAAGTTTACTTTCCAGATGTTTGGTTGTTGACCACGTTTCTGACCCATATTATGTTGTTGATGGAATACACTGGTTATACATTCTCCTTCCCAATGACATGGGTACACTGTAAAAACAGTGTTTAGCATTTAAACACATCAGAAACGTGTTTATAGTTTAATACGTTTAGGAATGTGTTTCAATTCTAAACGTTTACCACTTTTTAATGTTGTGAAACTAAACGTGTTTACGTTTTGGACATGTGCTTAGGATTGTATATCTAAATGCGCTTAGGAAGGTGTTTAAATGCTAAACATATTATTCATTGTATGTCAAACGGATAATGCTTGTCACAGAAAAAGGACATCTAAACATCTCATGGTGCTAAACGTGTGGAAAAATTGGGTACAGAATTAGTGTTTAGAAATGTGTTTAAATTCTAAACACCATTTTTACAGTGTATGTTCTTGTTGCACATGATTTCCTTATGTCCTTCACTTTACTTCTTCCTTTGTACAATATTTCATTAAACTGTTTGGCCCAGTTACTTGTACTCCTCAACTCTCTCTATTTCATGGTCCTCTACTTTGATATTCTGATCTGTTTGTTTGTTTGGGTTTTTTTTTTTTTTTTTTTTTGCTCTCTCTGTTCAAATCATTAAGTTGAATTTCCATGTTTTTCACTGTTGAGGTAATTAGGGTCACGTCATTTGCATATCGGAGGGTCTGTTAATGTTTCGCCATCCACGTTGACTCACATTTCCTCTAGAGGTAACTTCTTGAAGATAGCCTCCATGCATAGCTGTTGTGAACACCTTTGGCAACACTCCCCGACATTGTCACGATCTGCGAGACATCTTTATATTTATATTTATATTTTCTACAGTGGACCAAATTATTTCCAGTAGATCAAATGTAGGTTTTCCCGCACATTAAAAGAAATTCATTCAAATTCATAAACGGTTTCTTTCAATTTCGACTTGAAAATTCATGATCTTGCAAACCCCATGTTCAATTTCGTCTTTGGTCGCTCATTTTTGCACTTTGTTCAAACAATATCATACCTTAGCGATACTTTTTCGTGAAAGACAATTCAATTTCGTCGTCGACAATTGCCGATTGTACGATAGATGAATCAATTTTGTCACTTTGCAATTCAATGTTATATACAGTTCAATCAAATTCGTCTCATGATTGTATGCTATCTTAGGTATTTTTACGTTTTCATCTGTCCATTTCTACTACTTAAAACATAATTTATATGCTTTATTTTGTTGTGTCTGCTCAGTATCTGCTAACAGTTTAAACGTAGGTCTATAACCTTAAATAAGCATTCTTCGTGTAATAATTATAGGTTTTCCCGGCCATTTTAAAACACTTTTCATCCAAATTCACCAACAGGCTGTAACATTCAATTTCGTGCGAGAAAAATTTGTACACGCTTTTAATTACTCATTTACCATTCGATTTAATTAGTCATTTACCATTCGATTTCAAAGTTTGGTCACCCTCTTTAGTCACCGACTCGATAAATATTCGTCATTACAGATCGAATTCGTCTGTAATGACGAATTGCACGAATTTGTTGCCGAGTTGCAGAATTCAGAGATCGAATTCGTCTCATATAAATCAATTAGACGAATTTGATTTCTGAATAACGAGGTTTGGCGTAGGCAAGACGAAATCGAATACTTCAGGACGAAAGCGTGTGTTCGTTGAAATTGTCTGATAAAAAGACAAAAATAGTCCAGCGGATATGTGAAAAAAATGTGCACTTTTGCATAAAAGTATGAAGCCCATATAAAAGCATGAAACTTGGCACATATGTTTATTTCCCTGCGAGAAAATGTTTTAGATGTGGAGCCACCGCAAATTTTCCTTTTTAGGGGCTTGGCATCCATTTAAAAAAAAGGGGGGCGGGACTTGTCGTGCCCGCAGTGAAAACGGTTGTTCCCACTTGTCACCAAAGCAGGAAACTTCACAAAGACATAATTGTATAGATTATAAGTGTTTTCCAGATTTGGAGCTACCGCAAACGTACCTTTTTGGAGCTTGGCAGCCATTTTATATAAGGGGGGGGGGTAATTATTATGCCCACCTTGGTAAAAATTGTGCCCATATTTCATGAACGTATAAAACGTCCCACAGACGTTTATGTTCATGAGAAAAAAAAATCCAGATGTGGAGCCATCTCAAACACACCCTTTTAGGGGCGTGGCAACCATATTAGGAAAAAGGGGGGGCCGCGGGCGGGGTTTTCATGATGCCCACCATGGAAATATTGTTCCCACATTCACAGAGAAATAGAACTTTCCACAGACACTGACATTCATGAGAAAACAAATTCAAGATGTGGAGCTATCGCAATCGCAAACACACCCTTTTAGGGGCGTGGCAGCCATGTTGAAAAAAGGGGCGGGGTTCTCATTATGCCTACCACGGGGAAAAATGTGCCCACATCTCATAAACGAAAGAAGCTAATTCCAACTGACATAAATATTCACGAGAAAAAAAATCAGACGTGGAGCCACTGCAAACACACCATTTTAGGGGCGTGGCAGACATAGTAAAATGTGTGTGTGTGTGGGGGGGGGGGTAGTCATGATGCCCCTATAAAAAGAAGTTGTGCCTACCTTTCATAAACGGATTAAGCTCCACACAGACAATATATTCATGAAAATCTTTCTTTTTCCGAACATGAAGCCATCATAAACCTACCCTTTTAGAGGCGCGGCATCCATTTTCAAAATGGGGGGGGGGGGAGGGAGGTACTCAATATGCCCACCGTGGAAAATTTTGATCGCTTTTCATATGACAAAATCCACCTCAGATAGGTCTTTTAATATGTTGGAGTAGGGCCGCCTTTATAGTTGGAAGTGACTATTCACATTCGAAAAAAGAAAGATTCTCATAAATGTAATGTGGTAAATTAATATGGTGGTAAATTAATATGGTTGCCACGCCCCTAAAAGGGTGTGTTCGAGATGGCTCCACATCTGGAATTTTTTTTCTCATGAACATAAACGTCTTTGGGACGTTTTATTCGTTCATGAAATATGGACACAATTTTTCCCAAGGTGGGCATCATAATTCCCCCCCTTTTTTAAATGGCTACCACGCCCCCAAAAAGGTACTTTTGTGGTGGCTCCAAATCTGGAAAACACTTATAATCTATATAATTATGTCTTTGTGAAGTTTCCTGCTTTTGTGACAAATGGGAACAACCGTTTTCACCATGGGCGTCGCGAGGGGGGGGGGGGGGGCAAGGGGGGCACTTGCCCCCCCCCCCCCCCCCCCCCCCCTGGAAAAGCAAAAAAAAGAAAAAAGAAAGACCCAAAAAAAGAAGAAAAAAAAATTTAAAAAAAGAGGCGCGAAGACAAAGTGGTGTAAATTTAATGAGTTGGGGGGGGGGGGGGAAATGTCCCTGCCCCCTCTAAAACTGATAATTCGAAAATGTGTTGAAAAATACAAGCATTTTTGGTCAAAAAATTTTTTGCCCCCCTCAAGAAAAAATCCTGGCGACGCCCATGGTTTTCACTGCGGGCACGACACGTCCCGCCCCCTTTTTTAAAAGGATGCCACGCCCCTAAAAAGGTAAATTTGCGATGGCTCCACATCTAAAACAGTTTCTGGCGTGAATATGAACATCTGTGCCAAGTTTCACGCTTTTATGCAAAAGTGCACAATTCATCGATATTTTGTCACATAATATATCCGCTGGACTAGAAATCGATGTTGATCGACGAATTTAAATGTAGGTTTTCCCAGCGAATTTCCAAATTTTTTTAATCAGTTTCATTATCAGCCATTCAATTTCGCGTGAGTTTTGCACATGTGGTCCAATTGGGGTTTCTTTTTCGTTTGGGTTATATTCAATTTCATTTTTAGGCAGCCAAGATTTCACTGTGAATGTTCGTTTTCGTTTTCGGGCAGCCTATTTCGTTTTGGTGCATTCAAAACATAACTTGTAGCAGTCTTAAATTAAGTCTTTGCAACCTTTTGACGGTTGACGCATTCAAATTAGTGCACATCTGTGCGCTTATAACGTATAACCATGCTTTTCGTTTCTTATTCGTTTATGGGCAATCGCTTTCATCGTTTGGTCATTTAAATTAGTAAGATTTTTTATCGATATGTTTTCCTATTTTTCACCGAGGTTCATTCCCCCCCCCCCAAAAAAAACCTTGATGACTGTAAAATTTACAATGTTACAAATCAACTGATATGAGGGAAACAACATGCAACGAAGTAATGAATTGAAAAGGAATAA